GGGGTAGGGAGAAATCATTTCTCACTCAAGAATCACCTTAGTCCACAACCCAAAAAAATCCCTTGACTAAGGCAATTAGGTCAAGTATAAAACATTTACCATGGCAATGTAGCTGTAACTCAGAACAATCTCCCGAATTTTCCTCATCTCTTCCTCCAGGTTGTTGGCCCATACTTCACAGATAACCTGGCTGTTCTCTGCAAGGGCTGCTGGCATCTTGCAGGGACCAGAAAAGGCAGCTGATGCTGAACTCAAATGACAATGTAGAATCACAAGCTGTGCAATCTTATTAGTGTGCTGCATTAAAGAGAAATAAATAATGCTTTAAGTGAAGGAAGAGTAACATGTAAATAGATGCTCTGTAGGAGTCAGTCACACTTCCATTTTCACCTTCAAATAATCCATTTGAAATTTATACCAAGTAGTTTCTTGCTTTATCACTTTCTGTAAACATGCTGAATGAAATCTAGAGCATCTGTTCACAATATAAGAACAGATGCACAATCAACAGTCCAGTTCTCTATGTAAAGAATCATTACCCTATATTCCTTTTCCTGGCACAAGCTTTGACACTTTGGGCACAAGATGTACCGGCAGTGAATCCTCATCTTTAATCCTCAGTTATTTCCCCATCCCTGGAAGTGTTCGGGGCCAGGCTGGATGGAGCTCTGAGCAACCCAGTCATGTGAAATGCGTCCCTGCCCACAGCAGGATCTGTTAGAGAGGATCTTGAAGGTCCTCTCTAATCCAAACCCCTCTGTGATTCTATGATGAAGACAATTGTTTAAACACAATCTCCAGCATTAGAGAAAACACTAATTGACACGAATTTCAACAGGCGTGACTATCTAAAGGGGGGTGCTAAGAAGACGGAGCCAGGCTCATCTTGGCGATGCCTGGATAGGACAAGAGACAGTGGGCAGAAAGTGACACACAGTCAGTTTCACCTGAACGTCAGGAAGAACATGAGCAAAAACTGCAGGGACCGGGCACGGGAACAGATTACCCCGAGTGGTTTTGGAATCCGACTCAATGAAGATATTCCAGAACCGTCTGGACACAGTCCTGTGCCACATGCTCTAGGATGACCCTTCTTGAGCAGGGAGGTTCAGCCAGGTGACCCCCTGTGGTCTCTTCTAACCGGACCCATTCTGGGATTCTGTCCTTCTCTGATGGAACTCGGGACACACTGCAGCGGGGTGTTTCGGCTGGAACCACCGGCAGTGCCAGCAGTGCTACAGCTCGGGTAAGCCACCGGCTGGTGCCGCATTCCCTCAACAACACCGGCGAACCGCTCCCAGGCCTCTGCCAGGAGGCTCGGGATCAGCCACGGCCGGGCCCTGCGCCACCAGTTACCTGGCACCGTCACAGCCCAGCCCGGCCCGGCCCGGGGTCACCTCAGGGCCCCCCTCACAACCCGGGGGCGGCCGGACGCGGCTCATCGCGGTCGGGAAGCGGGAGGGCCGCTGTCCGCACCGCTGCCCTCTCAACCCCAGCCCCAGCCCTGCACCCCCAGTGCCGCTCCCGCTGCCGGTCCCGCTGCCTGCCCGCCCGTCCCGCTCCCCGGTACCTCCCGGCAGCCGCGGCCGGGACGCGCCGCTCTCGCCCCGCGCAGCCGCGATGGCTCCGAGTCTCCCCCTCCGCGAGGAGCGGCGCTTCCGGGTCTCGCGCCGTTTTGGCTCTCGCGAGAGAGAGCGAGACATGGCGGAGCCGACGGCGCGAGCGACAAGGTTGGGGAGGGGGCGGGCACGTTAGTGCGCGGGGCCGCGGTGCCCGCACTACGCATGCGCTCATCCCCGTCCAGCTCGTGGTTCTCCTCCTCCTGTCTCCCCGCAGTGCAGCTAATGGGCTCGCCCGGGCTCCCCGCGCTACAGGCGGCGGGCGAGTCCAAACTCCGCGGGCGGGGGGGAGGGATGACGGAGCTGGGTGCCTGTGCTCCTTGAGGGAAGAAGCGCCGTAACGCCCACTGGGGCTGGGGTGAGCTCCCAGCATGGAGAGCCCCCAGCACCCCGATCCCTTGGGACACGGGCTGCACCGCCCCCTGGCTGAGCGTCCCCGAAAGAAGCAGCGGCCGCCCCTCCCTCACCAAGGGGAGGTGAGGGGGTCCCCGGTCGGGGTTAGGCCCGAGCCCCCCTGGGCTCCCAGGCCACGGGCGCGCAGGGTGGGAGTGGGATGAGGGTTTGTTTTCCAGGGGGGATTTCCTAAGGCCCAGAGAGAAAACCACTGCTGTCCTGGCACGCGTTTCTCCTACGGTGTAGTGCGTATCAAGTTCTGCTTCTTCCTGGAGGGGCTTAGAAGTCATTTAAATTCCTACTACACCTGCAGCCTTTTAGTCTGGCTTCTCCTGTTCCAGGAATGGAATTTAAATTATGTTAGCAACAGAAGGTTGTAGCTGGTACAGCAGCTACTGCTTGTGTAACACGGCTTCCAGCACTTGCTTTGCTGGCTGATGCTGATGGCAGATAGGCAGTTCATTTGGAAGCTTGACTACTAATTAAGTTTAGATAGGATTTCATTTCTTTTAGACTGCCTTCCTTCTGGACAGGGTTGCATCTGTTGTAAAATATGTATGTGCCTATATATATATATATATATATATATATATATATATATATATATATATATATATATATATATATATATATATATATATATATATATATATAAATGTTCTGGTACTGGATTATCTGCCCACCATATGGGAGTCTTTCCCTGAATCTCGGCTACTTGCCCAGCATTTTGATCAAAGTATCCAGAAAAGCAGATATTGGTATCTTTCACATGTCAGACACCATTCAGTGTCTCAGGTTTAGTGTTCGTGCCTCAGCAGAAATGTTACATTTAGAAAGTAAGAGGGTTTTTCAAATGCTGCTGTGTTGAGTGACCTTGCTGCTGTCAGCATCTTATTACATTCTTTTTATTGAGCATTATTTTGATTCAGAGTTTTATCTTCAGTGATGATAGAGAGTTACCATTTTGACTTAGCTCTGCAGTCTCTGGCATTGTGTAATTTATGCAACGTGCAATTTGCTACACTTCCAGAAAGTAATCACCTTTCTTCCCGTGGTCAGTTGAATCTGGCTTTTGTACAAGGAAATCTGTGTTGTTAGCAGGTAAATTCAGCAGGCTGGGTTACAGCACCCTGTAAATACAAGGTTAAATTTTTATTTCCCAAAAGAGTTCAGAGTAATTTTTCTTGCTCATAAACCCAGCACTTGAGGGGATGTTGAATTCAGGGGAAAAGGGAGGGTGTATCTCCTCAGGCCACTGTAAATATCCACCTTGGTACTGTAATAAAAATGTGTTGCAGGCAATAATCACCTGTGATAAATTACATTTGTAGTGTGTAAAAATTTATGTGTAAAAAAAAGCTGTTCAAGGATGTTCGCAAGCACTGGTGAGAAGAGCTGGAGACGCGTTTTGCTTGATGAGATCAGAATTTTTTTAGAGCATGACATGGCTAATAAAGATTCAGAATAGCTGGAAAAGGCACCCTGCTCTTTAAAAAGTCACATCATTTCTGTATTTGGGGGTTACCAAGGCTGCCTTCAGCTCCAGCACTCCAAAGCAGGTCTTGAAGAGTTCTTATATCTACACATGAATGTAGAGCTGCACTATAAGGTGGAATAAAGGTCTTCAGCTCAACATTTTCACACTGGGCAGCTTGAGCTCCATGTCCTGTTGTGCCTTTTCTTTAGAGCTTAGTCACAGCACCACAAGAAAACTTACTTGTGGGAATCTTAAAAGATGAGTTTACGTTTTCCTCACCCTTCTGTTCTGCAGGTGCTCCCAAAGCAGCCACTGCAGTGCTAGGTGGTGGCACACATGCCCTCGAAGAGGGTAAGAAATCTGGTTCAGTGTGCAGGGAATGAAGCAGTGGGTGATGTGTGCCAAGTCCAGATTCCTCTTCAGCCTTAGAGGAACTATCAGTACAGGCTTGTATAGTCCCCTTAAAGATACTTCATAGATTTTTCCCCCGATGTTCCTTTCAAACACTGAAACAACCAATGACTATTAAAAAACTTTGGGGAGGGAACAAAGGTGTTCTTTTAAGTGTCTGAGCAAAAAGATTTTTTGCTGAGAAGAAATCAGACGTCTTGCATGGCTCAGCAAAGATTGCAGCAGCATTGGAGTGTCTGTGGTGGAGACATCAGCACAGGGCACATGACAGCCAGCAGCCATTTGATTAGTGACAACCTGTGCTAGACACAAAATTGCAGCAGAAGATAAATGGCATTTACAGCCCTATGACTAATGTGCTGAGCTGTCCCTATGGGTATGAATATTTCAGAGATCACCCATGTTGGAATTGAACTGTGGTTCGAAAGGAACATTGATGTCTGAAATTCACTCTTACACCTACTATTGGCTGTTGGATGAACAGCCCTCCCCCCCTGCAAGCTCAAATCCAAAGATCAGCTGAGGACGTTATCCTTACAGCACCCCTCTCTTGAGATGCTCATTTCCACTTCCTCTGCACGTAAGTAAATAGTTTGAAGGTATCACATTCCTCTCTGTTTAGTCTGCTCCGTGTGATAAATGCCAATTAGTAGCAACAGCTAAGAATTACAACTTCTGTCCCTACCAGGGAATAGCTGGAATTAGGCAAGAGAAAGTGACGATGGAAACAATAACAGTGTTAAATGCTGTTCACTCTTGCAGTGCTCTCTGTAGTTCCAGCTCTGCTGGCATGAGGTGTTGCTGAGGAAGAGTGTGTGTTGCTTCACCTGTGAAGGGCAAACAAGGCTGTGAGGCAGAGGTGATATTCCCTGTTTCTCCTCATATGGAAAAATAGATCTGGAAGGTTATGATAGCAACAGCCTCATTTCTCGGAGCTTAGTTCGTAATAGGGCACTATTTATGGGCTAAGTAACAGATTGGGGCCACATTTGCATAAGAAAGACCGATGCTGCTGTAAATTACATCTTGCTCTCTGCAATACCATAATTGCACACTTTATGGTCTGTAAACATCATGTTTAAAGACAACTGAGTCCAAGCACGTGCTAACCTATGTGTATCTTCACCTTACCCATGGAAGCAAAGCCTGTAACTGGTTGAGGGCACTGTGTAGCAACAGTTGGAGTAATTTTTAGACTTAGTACAACAGCATGGAAACTGGACTGCTGTTCTTTTGCCAAATTCCACAGTAACCCTTATTGCTTTTAACAAATACACCTTTGACCCATTCAGTTGCACTGGCAGTAGCTAGTTTGTGCTCTAACCATGAGTTAGTGAATTATAAAAACTACTTATTTTAGGGTGTTGGTGGCTTTTCTATTCTCAGGTACAACGATGAAAAAACTTACCTGCAGAGATGTATTCCACGTGCTTAACTGAGTAACAGCATGCACATACACATGGGGAACACTGCCAGCACTAACAGTGACATGGCACTGGCTTCACGTGACTTGTCTGGGAGGGGACAGGCAGCTCCTGCTTGGAAACACCCCTGTTGCCCTGGCCTAAACCCTCATAAAGTTTCAACAGCAGTAGTGAAAAGTGAGGAGTTGAACTCTGGGCTCTGAATAGACACAAAGGACCTCTCCTAAGCTACCATCAGCAGGAGGTGAGCAAAGAATGGGCAGCCAGAGTTCAAGGGTGTAGTAGCTTGAAAAGATATGATAGAGACTTTGAGGAAATCTTTAAAAGGCAACATCGTGTGTGTGTGTGAAGTCCATTGTCAGCTTTTCTAGGAACGGGAGTTCCCCTGAAACCGTGCAGTGCTTGGTAGGACATCAAATACCACGTCTGGTCCCGTGTCTGTTCACATGGAGAGTGGCTGATATGCAGCTGTTCAGGTGACCAGGTAAGTGGACCTGTGGTTTTCTGTTCTATATGTTCTGTATTTTCATGGGTAGTCACAGCCTTTGTTCTCCCAGGAGCAGTTTTCCGCTGTCTGTCCCATATAAAGGTTGATTTCAACCTTTATAAGGAGGAGAAGCAGAAGCTTCAGGCAGGAAGGCACAAGGAATCCCAAGGAGCTGGGGTGGGCAGCCAGTCCATTACAGCAGATGGAGCTGTTCTGAGCTGCACCATGCAGGTCTGTGGCTGCTGGCAGAAGGATGCAGTGCAGTGGATGCAGTACAGGGAAAGGGCACCTGTGCTGCCTCACCTTGGGACTGTTTGGGCACCAGAAATATAACAGAACAGGCATGGGACATAAATAATAATTCACAAAAAAACCCATGAAAAATACAGCAGGTTTTTTTGCAGATTATACTCAGATTATATTGAGCATTTTAAAACATGACTTAGACAAACTAGCTTTTTTAGGGAAATTTAGTGAAAATAAGAATGAACAGTTTATGAACAGTTGTTGGGCAAGTTAAGTTATACATGGAAATAATAATATAAAAATGTATTAAAATTCTTGTTTGACTAGTGTATGTTTTCCCTTTAATGACAAGAGACTGATTGGAAAAGCAATTACTTTTACTCTAGGGTTGAGAATTTTCTTTGGATCAAATTTTGTGTTAACTAATTCCAAATAATTGGAAAGGAACTTTTTATTTTTTTTTTAAGCAGTACTAGTTCTAGCTGATATTTGGAAATAACTGCAGGCAGCTGAGATCTTCAGTGGTTGATTTGAGGCTGTAAAATACGCCAACATGAGAGCAGTGCCAAACAGCTGAATGGCTTTTTTGTTTGCTGAAACAGCAATGGTTACATGAATGGCTTTTTAATGTATTTGGTGTATTCTGAACCAGGAGAGACATTGCACAATAAAAAAAGAGTAGGTAGTGAGATGTTGGGGGAAACCTACTCTATCCAAGTTTTTCTGGGTTTAATGTAAATAATGTAAAATTTTATCCTGAAAAGTGGCTTAATAAAAGTAGTGCTCTGAAACAGAGGGTAAGCAGATGTAGCAGCTCTGCTTTGAACTAGAAATTTTTGCCCAAGCCAGCCTTCTGTTATAAATTGATTATTTTAAGAATACTAGACATGTGATTGTAATTTTAACTCTTTCCTAAATGCACAGAATATGTGACTCAGTCAAGTAATAGATCTTCCTCTTTCTAAAAACTCAAAGCAGAGTCACATTTTCTACAATACTCTCTCTGGAGCTCTTCACATGCAAAGGTTCAGCAGGTTTGAGTCAGCACTGCAGGACGGAGGAACCTGTGGAGCATCAGCCTTCCAGCTCAGTGAGATTCTCCTTTCACACCTGCCTCTCCTAATGTTGTCTGCTACAAAGTCATCAGAGCAGAATAATCTCTTTAACCACAGAAAACTATGGCCAGCACTATTTACTTTACTGTCCCAGCAGAATAATTGGATATTGGTCTTTTCAGCTCCCTACTAGGTGGTTGTGAAGATAGGGATGTGCACAGCCTAAAAGCAAATAATAGGAGTCATAACCAAAAAAAATCCAAGTGGCAGAAAATTACAGTGAAGGCTGTCAAACTGGAACTGATTTCCCAGAGAAGCTGTGAAATGTCTCTCTGTGCAGACACTCAACTGTTCAAGCCTCTGAACAACCTGTTAAGAAAACTGGAATGGAGCAAAGCCTCAAAGGAATGGATTATTCAAGCCTGACATATTTCAAGCTTTAGTAGTGTTTTCTTGGAGGCAGTGGGCACACCTTCCCTGAGAGAACCTGTGTGACAAGATGTGCACATAGTGGATGTTATGTAATGCATGTAATTAGGAGATCTTTTAAAAATTAAGATCCATTTAAATTTGGCCCATGGCATGTTATTTATGCTGTTCTCTTCAGGCTAGCAGGTTATTTTTGGTTGTTTCTTATGGGTATTCTTCATCAGATATATTAAGAGTTCATCTGTATTTTATCCATTAAGATGTGGTTGGAAAACAATGTACGAGAGGAAAAGAAAGTCCCACAGACTGGCTGTAGTAGCTCACGAAGTGTAGTAGTGAGGAGCTCTGTGTTTGGAGAAGGACAAGAAGCCCTGGGACACTGCAGGTTCCCCAACACATTCTCATTTTAAGCAATAGCACCCTAGGGCACCTCACTCTACCTTTTTTGGCCAAGGGAGACAAAGTGAACTTGGATTTGGTTTCTTTTTTAAGACTGCTACCAAAACTTAGCATTTCCCATAGGAGTATGTCCAACCCTAGTGTTAAAATATGGGCTTGGGAGTTGGCATCAGGGTTTAAAGTTTCAAATCCCTTTTTGTCTTATTTTTCTTTTTTCCTTCTCAGAACTGTCTAACATCAGTTTCTTCCACTACAGTGTGTGGTATGGTAGGCTGACCTTGCTTTTTTGTGTTTGTAAGCAGGAAGAAGGTGTCTAATTTTTCTGTGTCATGCCCTTTGACCTGCATACTCATATGTAGTGTAACAGAGCTGGGAACACCTGCAAATAAACACAATTGTATTTGTAAGAACATACCCAGAAGGCTATAATTTCAAATCTAAACCTCCTGACTAATACAGGCTTTCTTTCTGACAGTTTATTCCACCTTTCTGAAACGCTGCAAGAAGAGTACTCCCAAGAGGCTTCCCTCTGTCATCAAGGTAATAGAATATCATCTTCCTAATAAGTAATTTTCCAACTGTTTCTACCCTAAACAGGGACCTTTGAACCTTCTCTGTGCTTGCCTTTGTACTTGAGGTAACAGTTTGCCTGTGCTTGAATATTCTGCTGAGTAGGAAAGGCAAAATGGATTAAATTCTGCAATCCTCAGTAATCTGACTGTCATATTATTAGAAGTTGTGTGTTTGTTCTTAAAGACCATGTGAAACCAAGAAAACATTAAGAAATGTTTTGTTAACTTTTGCTAATCATATTTTATGATAAGACTGCAGAAATATAAAAACAGCTAAGCAATAATCCCTAGGACAGCCAGAACGTAGCCTAAAATGCAGAACCCTTCATGGCCATGGCCAGCAGTGATACCCCAGCAGCTACTCAAACCTTGGGTTTGATTTACTTTTTAAATTTCTTTTAACAAAGCCATCAACAAATGGTCAAGCCAGAGCTAAACACAGAGAGATTTATTATGAGACGACCACATGCCCATTTAGAACTTTAACCATCTAAGTGACCATAGCAGGACTTGAATCAAAGATGATTTTCTTACTTACCATGTTCTTAAGCTGTAAAGCAGAGTTTGAGTGAAGTTTGAGAGAGGGGCTTTATTGTGTTAATTCTCCATGGCACAAACTCACTTTTTTTTCATCCCTGTTTGTTTAATTGCATGTTGTCATTATGGAAGAACATATATCTCACATTATCATTTGCTTACAGCTTGGGAAGGGCTGGGGTAGGTACTGGGTGCTGCAGTGTATTCCTGGGCCAGATTAAGGGTGGAAGTCTTACCACAACACACCAGTGACACAATCAAAAACTTTGGTTTTGGCTGTTCTCCTATTTTTCTTTGTTATCCTTGCATCCCTGTTAATCTTCTGGGACACTACTAACTCCTCAGGAAATAAGGGCATTTTCCTTCTCAAGAGCTCAGCTTTGCTCGATGGCCAACACATGAAGGATGGAGCAGGACATGGCACAGAGAGTAAATATTTTACACTTTTACTACCGAACTGCAAGTGGAAGGGATTTGCTGTTGTGAGCACTATATTCTGCCACTCTCCAGCTGGACAAGATTCACTTACTTAGATCACCTTTTATTTCAGATGGAAACAGATTCTGGATATTCCTCCACTGCTGAGCTGCAGAAGCAGGTAAAGGCTCAAGCTCATCATTTAAAGGAAGACTCATGCAGGTGCTTTGGAAGGCTAAACGTGTTGAATCACCTTCTAAGAGAAGTGACAGACACATCCTCATTCCGAACATTTTAGCATAATTAGGAGCTCATCTCTTATCACTAAAGCAGCACTTACCCAGCATTTTTCCCTTCCAGTGGACTGCAGCTACAGCAGCAAGTGGGGAAAGACCTGTTATCTTTGCTTGCATGGCAAGAACCCACCACAGTTCCCCATAAGCAGAGGCCGTGCCACCTCACTGGGCCTGGTCCTCAGAGTGGTCCTGCTAAATTCTTATTGCCAGCTGATATGCCCCAGTCTCTTTACCTAGCCAGCAACAACTGTTGCTGCACTTAAGGAGTTTGCTAACTTCTACAAGCACTTTAAGAGCAAGAACTCAAGCGATCCATTAATTTGTTTGGAAACTACTGTGCTGTAGCTGTTGGCATGAGGAGAAACAGGGTATTAAGCACTTGGACTTGATGAGCAAGATTTTTTTTCTATGTAAACTTCTTTACTTCTACATTTCATGTAATTATATTGTGTGGGATTCATGTAATCACTTCATCATATGCAATAAAAACACAGCCTCAAAACAAGACAGTTTCTAGCCAGAGGGCTGTTAAAATAGCTGAAGTGCTGAGCTTTAGCTCCTCTCTGTCCTGTCTCAAAGCAGGACATGCACAGTGTCTGTGAATATTGGGAGTTACTAAGGTTTGAAACTCTTGAGCTGGAGGATATTAAAGCAACTGAAACCTTATTTGGGCTAACTGGAAATTCTGACACTTGTAAGACAGAATTTTTTTTGGTATGCTCTTCATCCCAGGAGAAAAAGGATTTTTAGGATACGAGTCTGTTAAAAAGCTCAAAGCTTTCTATAGCTTCTGTAACCTTGTTTTTCTAAAGAATATGTAAGTGATGGTCCAAGGTCTAAAGATTAAGTCTTACATCAGCATACATTGGCCATAACATGGATACAGCTGGAAGTATGAAACTGCTAAGAGAGCAGATCTCTGGTCCAGGATCCAGCAGGCACTATCTGATGCTGGAGGAGAGGATTTTGCCAGCCTGGCATTTGCCCTTCGGTACCCGCAGTGGCAGCTGATTGCACTGCTCTCATATAAACCCATAGGGTTCACAAATATCAAACTGTAGGGCAAGAGTCCTGTCAGTTTCTTCCTCCCTATCTGCTTTTTCAATTAAAAAAAAAAAAGAAGGAGGTGATAGGAGGAAATGGTTGGGTGTTTGTTTTAATAGTGAATGTTTCAATGCTAATGAGCAAAGTTCTTTCCTGGGACAAATAAATATTGCTTATAAGTCCTGGGCCACATTTAATGTTCTGTAGCTGTTACAGAATCTAAAAGCCATGTAAAGAGGATTCCTTTATATTGCATTACCCTAAAGCACCTGCATTTGGCATTTCTCAGAGCTGCCTCTCTTGTTTGTCCTCTCTGACGGGAGGTGAGCAGCTATGAATCACACTGTTTTCACTCCAGTCTGTTTGTGCAGCACAACATCATACTTAAAAAACAGGAAGGACAGAGGAATGAAGAAGACAATAGCTGGTTATTGTACTATTGCATTGATTTTTTAAAAAACATTTACATTGCAGATAGATATAATTTGTATTCACTCACGAAAACCAAATTAATTGCACTCCAGAACCAATTCCAACTTGGACTACTCTAAAAGACAGATCATTAATTATAAATTTGTTATATATTTGCTAAACAACTTTGTTTTGGATATTCAAATGTATTGAATACTACTTTTTGAATATACTTATTCCTGTTAACCAGGTCATCTGAGCACAGTAGTTCTTGACTGCTGTGGGAAGAAAACACTGCATCGTGGGAGGGAGAAAATACTGAGTGAGGGAGGTGCAGAGATGAAGCACCATTCCTTATTGCCCAGTGTTCCTTTCCCACTGCTCTGAGTTATCCAGGAGCCCCTGGAGTTATAGCCCTCCAGGTACTGAGCAGCACGCCAAATAAAAACAAAGAGAGGAAAAAAATCAGTGGTCCTTTCTCTCTCTTTGGTTATTCCAAAGAAATTCCACATCAGTCATGCACCAGGTCTGTGTAAGCATGACAGATGTATGATTACACACAATATCCCACAACAGCTTTGTTATTGTGCTCTTCAGAGTGTGTGTGAAGGAAAACAGGCCATCACAGGACTGCCTTCATCATTTCAAATACCAAAAATGCCAGGGCAGCACACAGCAGCACGTGCTTACCCTTGTTGCTTCTCACAGGGAAAGAAGCTCTCAGATGCCTTGAGGATCAGTGCCTACGTCTTCAGTACAGGCCTACTCATGTTCACTGCCTTAGTGAACTCTTGCTCTTGGTAAGAATGTTCAAGCAAAGCAGCTTGAGGAGAAACTTTTCTGTGGAAAGGGGGGAAAGTGGATGAATAGATGGGCAACCAAGCACTGTTATTCCCACAGGTTTATGCAGAATATAAATTTAGGCAATTTCTGGCAAACAGTATGGTTGGAGTTCTACGACTATATGGAGGGAGATGAGTGGACAATCTTCCTCATTGGTGAGTTTTAACAATGCTCTTCAGGAGAAGTGTATTACATATAAAAGGGAGACATGGACAAGCTTCCCAAACTCATTAATCCTCCTACTGACAAGCACTGGCTTGGAAGGTACCCACAACTGATGTGGTGCAGCTGTTCTGCTTTTGGATGGGGTTACCATCAGAACCCTGTACAGATTAAAAATCTGGTCTTTTTGCTGCTACCAAAGTGGCTTCCCTGTGAAGACACTGTGCTCCTGTGTGAACTGAATGACTCAGTAGAACTAATTACTAAAAATGTAAGTCAGTTTAGTGAATTCTGCTCTTGCTGTAGTACTTACAAAACTCTTTTCTGTGATTAGCAGCTGGTGAACAGAACTGGTAGGGACTTTGCAAGGTTCTAGAGATCAACTCAACCTTATCCTACTTGGATTTAAGAGCAGCAGAGATCTCCCAGCTACCTAGAAAAGCTTTCTCTTAGCTTCAGTTATGTCAAGTTTCAACCTCTGAGACATTTGTCTGCTCTAACCTCCTTCCCATTCTTCAATCTTACCTGGATGTCAGAACTTACCCATATTCCATTTTAAAGCATCTTGGGGCAGAGGACACTTGACACATCTGGATCCCAGCAAGGTCCTCTGGGTACTATGCCAGTGTATTTTGTTTCTGATTTAGCCATAGTTCCCAATTCATTCACACATCTCTGCCCTTTCCTCATGCCACAGGGGCTGCATTGGTGCCTGCATTTGCTTTCTGGGGCTTCAATGGAATCCTTCTGGTGGCTGATATAACAGGAAAGCCAACTTTTATTACTCGCTATCGCATTCAGCTGGGCAAGAATGATCCTGTAAGTACTTCTCACTCTGCCTTTTCTGCTGGCTAAACACTTCCTGCAGTCTCTTAGGCCAGGAACAGGGAGAAGAACCTGTTTTGCTTTTCTCTTGCAACCAGGTAGGATTCCAGGAGGATCAAGCCAAATCTTGTATACCCACTGTAGGGAGGAAGGCAGATCCTCTTATGAGGCTACTGATCAGATCTGCATTGTCTAAGAGCTGATCCAAAACTAACTGACAAGAAATCTTACAGCTTTTCATCCTTTCAACTAAAACTGCATTGCTTCTTTCATAGCCTCAAGTCCTGACTTCTCTTTTGCAGGTGGACACAAAGAAACTGTGCAAAGCCATCTACACAGTGCTGGGTAATCAGTTCTTTATCTCCTTTCCCATGCTTGTGCCCATGTTCTACATCATGAAATGGTGGGACAACACCTTCAGCAAGGAGTTACCAACCTTCCAGTGGTTTCTTGTGGAGCTAAGCATTTTTACTGTAGTAGAGGAAATTCTCTTCTATTATACACACAGGTGAGCTGAGCACAGCTCAGGACTCATTGGTTTTCTTCCTTTAAGCTTATATCCTACAACAGCAATAATCCTTGTCCCTCTGTTCCACCAGTCTTGTATTTATATGGAAAATCTTACAGGTCCTGAAATCCACCCTCACAACATGAGGCCTTGGTGCTGCCAGTAACTGTAGGAAACAAAAACGGGTAGAATTTTAAAGGTGGACCAGCTTAAAAGCTAAGGAAGAAACAAAGCAGGCAGTTTTGCACAGAAGTTGTAATCCAGCATTCTTTGAAAAAAGAAGACTGATTATTCTGAAAGACAAAAATCTCAAGAGTCAGTGACTGATGTCTGTTCCCTTGTGCAGCACCTACAAATCAGGTCCTGACTCCCAACACTGCAGGATTTCCAAGCACTGACACCAACATTAAAGGACAGAAATAAAGCAAGGAAAACAAAAGAAGCAGAAGCAAGCACAGTACTTTCAGAAATCTGTAGGATTCCCTTTAGGACAAATGCACCAAAAAATGTAAATGCCATTTTTTACAAAGGACTCATGAAACTGAAAATTTTCTGCTTCTTTGATAGTTGCTGGTAGAAAAAGCCAAAACAGTGAAAAGGTAGAGTCTTCCCCTTAAGTAGTACTCCTAGATTTGAGTAAATAAGTAATTCAGTGACTTTGATTTATGGGATTTATCTGGAATGCATAACATCAGCCAGCAGACACATTAATTGAATAAGGGCTCAATACAAAGAGAGCAAAGGAAGCAAGGAGTCCTACACTCTTATTGCCAGCTGCTCTGAAATCTTTATGTTAGAGGAGACACAAGCAAGTCCCTTGCAGAAATTCTGTGTTGTTACTCCTTTTTTGCAGAGCTCAAACCCTGCCTTTCTCTGTTTACTCTCCCTAGGCTTGGTCACCACCCAGTGCTGTATAAGCACATTCACAAGAAGCACCATGAGTGGACGGCCCCCATCGGTTTGGTCTCCATTTATGCTCACCCAATAGAACACATAGTAAGTGGATTCTCCCATGGTCACCCTCCAGTTGCTGTGTGGAGTGTGATTTCAATGGGATGAGGTGGAATGGTAAGAAAAGAGAAGCAAATATGTCCTTAGAGGCTTCTTTCTTACGAAGAGGAAGCTGAGCTGCATTGCCAAGAAGCTGGGCTCTAGGGGAGTTGCAGTAATTGTTTATACTGGACTCCAGTAGCTTCCAGAGCACAGATCCTCCAGTAGATAAGGAACTGACTGGACAGGGCTTCCCATGAGCCCCAAGAGGACTGGGAACACAGACAGTGCTTTCAGCAAGAGATGTGACACACAGCCTGAGTGGTTGTGTGGACTTGGAAATCTGTCAAGATTTTTGTGGTGGTTGCTGGGATCAGTGTTTGCAAGGAGTGTATCCCAGTACTCCTCCAGCTGAGACTTCTCAGGAAAACACATCCCACCTTCAAAAGCTTCCACTTAAAAATTCTGTCTCCTGTTATCAATAGTCCTGGGCTGCAGCACCAGCTCTGAGGCTGTCCCCTGCTGACACTCTGGACAGCACAATGATTGAGTCCAGCTGAGCTGTGCTGGTGCATGCAGCTGGGTCTGGGCAGCCAGAGCCATTTGTGCCACAGGCAGGACACACTGAAGTGCAGCTGGGTTTATCACATTGCTGTGTGTGTCTGCAGGCCATGCCCTTTGACAGCGAGGTTTCCCAGGAGCAGCTTCAGCATTATTCCAAGGTGAAGCTGAAATTCACACCTCAGACTCCAGGGTGATTTACTGGAATCATGCTGTCCTCACCCATGGTTTGGTGTCATGTCTAACTTCTACTACAGGCTAAGGGAGCTTGGGCTGTGGCAATGTTTTACAGTAGTAGAACTCTCTTATCTCTATTACTACTTTTTGGATGATTATACACTTACACTTTAGTAAGGTGTTTGCAGAGGGGTCTTCCCTTTACACTGCTTACACAAAACAAACCAGTGTGATTGATCACCAGGTGACAATTCAGCTCCTAGAGGAATTGTGGACCCATTAATGAGGTGGTTTCTTCTCATTTCCAGGTCTCCAACACTCTGCCTGTCATGACTGGCCCAGTGATCATGGGATCTCATATTGTTTCAGTTGCAGCATGGTTCTCCATTGCTCTTGTAACAACAAGCATTTCTCACTGTGGCTACCACCTGCCCCTCCTGCCATCTCCAGAGTTCCACGACTTCCACCACCTCAAGTATGTCTGGGCACTGCTCAGCTTCCCATTCTCCTGCCTCTCCTGCCTGTGCCCTGGTACCACTGACAGGGAAAGCTCCTTTCTGAGGGTCAAGTGGGTTTGCCTAACTCATGCACCAGCAGAGCAGCTCTCCAGTTCACCTGAGAGCAGGCTGAGTGCTGCCAGTCCTTAGAGCAGTTAAACAGGGATTTCAAGGCATTCCAGCCCTGTTAAGGACAGATCTCTGCAAGGTTCTTCCTAGAAGTTCAGAATACTCTTCATGTGATCTAGACAGAGCAAGGGCAAATCACACTGGTGAAATAAGTGAGCCTGCCTGTCTGTCCCTCTCCCACACACTGGGATTAGTAACACTGATCAAATTACACTTCGCCCAGATAATCAGCATTAACCCTTCCTGACAGAGATTCTCAGCCTCCTGTGCTGGAGAGCTGCAGCAGACTGTTCAAGGATACAGACCCAAGCACTGGAGAAACATTCCCATCTCCCAGTGAGCACTACATTCAGACATATACCCCAGAAATGTCTGCCCCTGCTGCAGAACCAGCCCAGGGGACAGTTCAGTCACCACATGCCAGGACACTCTGGGTGGAACAGCTGTGCCAGCTGGAAGCACATCTGCTCCACATCCCAGGACAGCCAGGTCTTGAGAGCACATGGGGCATGGTAATGTGGGTGTCCAGTGCTCCCACAGCTCTGAGCTGCCCAGGAGAAACAGCTGCTGCTCAGTGCCACCATTTCTGGGCAATGATGGCACCAGAAAGAAGCGGCACAAGGTTCACCCAGGCTTCAACAGAGCGGCCAAGGAGACTGGTGCAGGGGCAGAAATCCCATGGACAGATTATCAGGGCTCAGAAAGGAATGGAAAGAGGAAGAGCAAGGTAACCTCAGTAACTTTCAGTGACGTTTATCTCTGTTTGGATCTCAGGTTCAACCAGTGCTACGGAGTACTGGGAGTGCTGGATTTTCTGCATGGCACAGACAAAATATTCAGACAAACCAAAGCCTTTGAGAGACACAAGATCCTACTCGGCCTCACGCCGCTCTCTGAAAGCATCCCTGAGCCACCCAAGAAAGCTGAGTGAACCAGCCCAGCACCTCTTGCCTAGCCTGGTGATGAGCAGACAGAGACAATGATTTATGCCAAATAGTATTTTAATCAGGAAACAAGTTCTTGTGCACACATAAAACATAAAACTGAAGTTAAATATGCTGCTTGAAATGACTGCACTTTTGCTGCCACTGTTTTCTGTCTAAGACACTCACAAAAAAGCTGCTCTAGAAGTCTATTTTTAAGATTTAATGGTTTATTTCTCTGTTACTTGCACTGTCCCTTGGTTCCAATTGCCTGTGTATGAGCCAGGTGTATTCTGGTGTATGACTCAGGGTTCTCACTATTAAGGTTTTAGCACCAGACTCTGCAGGTGAGGATTTGGCCTCTCTTGTCAGCACTCACTTTAAAGAAACATCATTCACTCCATCTATGTGTGCAGAGCACATGGGACACAGGCTGCAAACCCCGTGGAAAGTCACTGGGGCCACAGCTTTAGAAACACTCCCCTGCACATGCAACAAGGGCCTGAGTTCTTGTTCAGTTGCAGTTGTTATGCACAGGAGGGGGGTACAGCGCTGAACTGGGGCTGCCACAGCCTCAGCACTGCTCCACAGACAGCTGCAGACGAGGGGAGTTTCCCCTCGTGGGACAGGGGAGCAGAGCTGGGAGCTGATGTGCTTCATGGCATCACCTCCTGCTGAGCCTCCCCTTGCTGCAAGACAACCAAAATTCTGATAAATTACAGAGATTTTCCAAGGAAAGCAGAGTCCCTGCTGTCCTGAGCCGTGCCGAGATTAAGGAACCCCTCTAAGAAAGGACCCAAGCAAGCAGCCCCAGAACAATGTGCACATTCCCAAGTACCCACAGACCATCCAAGACATACTGTGAATCCTCTCAAGGCTCTTCCTAAGTCTCAGTCCTGCCTGGGGGCCTGGAACAAACACATCTCATTTCTCCCCAGCAGAGCAGCCCCTCAAGGAACAGGCACACAGGGTTGAGCTGTGCTGCACTGACCATTGGTCAGCCCAGCTCTACCTGTGGAACCAAGGTCACTTCCCCTGCTCCTCTCTGGTCCCCACAACTGCACCAGGACAAACCCAGCCCAGTCACCCACCCACAGTTCCCTGGGGAGGGCAAGTCAGCAGAACAGAAAACCCAGGCACCACTGTCTTTTGAACTTTTTATTTTTATACATTTTTTTGTATTAAAAAGGAAAAAGCATAATTACCACAAATTACAAAGGACTAAAGCATTACTAGAATAATGAATCACATCAGCCTAGAAAGCAGATACTCTGAATAATATTAATGTTATAATACAAGCTTTCATTCAAGTATTTTACATTTTTCTCTTTTCCTTTTATACGTGATGATGATCCTAGCACATGGGTCAAAGATTATGTACTATCAACAGAGATGGATCATGTACAGCGGGCCGTATTAACAAGATTTTCCTCCCAAGTGGATACATGGTCTGTGATGAGTCATTTTAAGTTTGTCTCTACTATAAATGCAGCTGAAGAAGGTTGCACACACTCTCTAGTTTTGGGAAACAGAAGGCTGAGGTTGGACACAGGGTTTGAGAAGGGCCAGCACATCGAACCATCACCCCTTTAGCTCCAGGCGAGTAAGCAGAAGGCTGCACTCGCTGGGATGCAGCTCAGTGGGTGTCTCAGAGCCACAGATCCAAAGGTTTCCAACCCCAGTGGGACCAGGACAGGCTGGGGGGAAAGATGGGCAGCAGGGCTGCACCAGGGGGGCTTGAGGGACCAAGTGGTGCCAAGCACCCCCTCCCACGAGGGGCACCACTGGCAGAGCCACCCTGGTGCAGGGCTGACACCTGGGGAGAGAGCAGGAGGATAGCTGGGGAGCTGGAGGGAACCCAGCACGCTCCACAGGGGCCAGCTGGCACCCAGGGCACTCCCTGCTCCTCTGGTGCTTCCCACCAAAGGGATGTGCTTGTCACAGATGCATCGGTCCTATGTTCAAGTGTCTGCAGAAAGTGAAACTGTAAACTACTCCTGGAAATGCTGCCCTCCAGCCACCTGCTCCACGCCACCGAAATGAACATTTGCTTAGAAAAACAAAATGGAAGAAAATATTTTATCTGTTACCTGTATTGGAAACTTAAAAAAGTCAGTGAGGCATTTAACATCAAGTGTAGCAACCCTCTCAAGAAGAACCCAGCATTCATTTCAAACAGTGACAAGTGACATAACCAGCCTCAGAGGAGACAGGAGACAATACGCATTGCAAACACAGCTTGCTACATTTACAGTTTTCTTTTTTCTTTTTTTTTTTTTCTCCTTTTGATAAAGTAACTGGAAAGGCATTAACAGCTAGAAGGCCCCCTTTGCACTGCCATGTGCAACGTGGCAGGACACTGAGGTTAAACACATCAGTTTGTTACAGTACAACGACCAGTCCCGAGCAGGTGCCGAAACTCGAGGGACCCCAAGGGCTACGGTGAGAAGGTGCCATCAGGGGTGACAGGGGGGCAGCAGAAGAGATGGACAGGCAAAAACAGAGCAGCAGCATGGTTACTTTTCTAATTTTTTTCCCCCAAATGAGCATGGCAAAGCAACGAAGCCTCCTCAAAAGCACACCTTCCACCTCCACTCTGACCCCACACCACAGCGCTGTACCTGTTCCAGCCATCTGCATTCTAAAGACAAATTAACCTCAGCAAGGAGCCCTAAGCTCCAGCAGCCTCGAGGACCTCCTGAGAAGAGGGACAGGATGAGGAATGTCCCCCTGACTCAGCCTCCCTCCCTTTCCAGAAGCAGCTGGGGCTCCCCCCAGGCTCTGCCAGTGGCTGGACACCAGCACCATGCAGCCCTCACGGGCCGTGGGACGATCAGCGCTCACAGGAGCACACGTGCAACCAACTCAATCCTCTGAAATTCAAAACAGCACAACACATGGTGGAGGTGAAGCACCCAAACTAAAAGCAAGGCCTAAGTCCCTCCTCTACAGAAGGGCAAGAGCTTCCTCAAATGCAAACCCCCTCTGGACAGCTATCCCTTTATCCAGTGGAGACGTGAGCCCTGCTGCGGCCACTCCTGACCCAGCCAGGCACAGACCATGCACCCAGGGAGCTCCCCGCCCTCTGCCAGCACCCACAGCAGAGGGAACAGTTCTGTGTTCCCTGCCCTGCAGGAAGACAGGTGTGAGCCAGCAACAGCTGCCTCAGGCTGTCACATCCATCTCTGCTCTGTCCTGCCCACTGCTGTCCCACAGACAGCAAAACAAGGCACACGGTCCACACACCTGGAGGGCACTGGGACCGCTGGGATCGCGCTTCTGACCCACCTTCCCCTGGGTGCTTACACTAACGTGACAAACCACTGAATTGGCAGAGGGGAAAGGGAAAACACTTCCATGCCAAGACTAGAGCCTCAGGATAAGAAATTAAAAATTATTTAAAATCAGTTTTTTGGGAAATTCTCTGGGAAATGTCTACCTCTTCTACAACCCAAGCAATTCCACAGTCTGCTCTAAAAGCAACAACTTCATAGCAGCGGCTCATCCCTTCCCATTTCCTATTAATTTGTTGCTGAAATGCAGACAATTGGCTTCAAGAGAGAACACACACCAACAAAAGGAGCACAGACACAGCAGCAAGGAGTACCTGTGGCACATCCAGACCTGCCTCCACTTGCAAACAACCAGCAACACATCTACGATGTCCTTGATCGACTCTCCAGCCTCCTTCTCAAATCAGGGACACCCCTGCCTATATACGTAACCTCAGAGATCTGACTCCAGCTCACAAGAGGGGAAATCCAGAGATAACAGTCACGGCCACAGCACTGTACAAGTGTTACTTTTTCCCATCTTGCCCAGTTCCTACCCCACAACCCCAGAGCATTGCTGCCATAACGGAGATCCACGGCCTTGGATGGGCTCGCCTGCTGCAACCAGGCCTGTGAGCTGCAGGGTGGCATGGCAAGGGTGCACAGACCCTGCAGGATCACACCACCAGGAAACAGCCAAGTAGCAGCTCCTCAGCCTCTCAAACCCAGCTGTGCTTTCAATTCTAGCAGCAGTTCATGAAGCCACTCCACTCAGACCAGCCCATGTGCCCCACTGTTCGGGAAGTGATGGGCTCAGCCAGGCCCCACAAGCACCCACAGCCACTGCTGATAGACAGCTTGGCCGTGCTTCCCCTCTTGCTCCTGCTCTAAGTTCCTGGCTGCTCTCACCCACCCACCCTGCAGAAGCACAGAGACAGCCCCGGAGAGTTGATGACTCCTCCCAGCTATGAGACACAGCTCTGGATCAACCGGATCCCTTGGGAAAACGCTGTTCTGTACCAGCTTGTGACTTTGCAGAGTGGGCAACATCACCACCTTTGGAGTGGTGCATCACATGCCCACTCCACACTGCACACAGGAACACAGCTCTGGAGCTCACAAGGATGGAGCACTGGAGCCACAGCCAAGCCTGGTATCCCAGGGACCCAGCAGAAGGGGTACGGTGGCAGCAAGACAAGCAGGTCTGGCTGGAAAGGAACACGACTTTCCAGTGCTACCTCTGGAGATGCTCCTGAGGTAGCACTGGACATCTCAGATCTCACACACCCCTCACCAAGGATCCAGCTCGCAACCTGGGGAGGGCTTGCCTGCCAGTCCACCTGGTCTGGGTGTAAGGATCAATCAAGTAAATGCCACAGCAGCTCTGCAGTCATCTCCTGCCTCAGCCGAGTAAGGAGCTACACAGTGTCATCTCAGCCCTTGGAAATGCACAGGGACTGTACCCTGAGTGAGAGACTCCGTGCAGCTGCCCGCCACAACACAACACACAAGGAAACCCAGGCGAGAGCTCTCCTGTGCCAGGCAGGTTTCCTGCTCACCCCTGCACAAGTCCCATCAGCAGCCCCAAGCCAGTGACTGCTGTGGGACAGCTTTCCCAGGGCTGCCTCACTCCCTGTCAGGCTACAGCAGAAGCAGCCCTTGCTCACAGCCAGGAGCAGTCCCCCCAGCTGCTGTGACAATCTCCCTGCTCACTCCCCAGCCACGCTGGAAGCACAGACAGGAGCAGAGCCACCTCCTGCCAGGAAGGGCCGGGGCTGCGAGCAAGGCCATGACAGAACAGTCGCTGTGGTGGGGACAAGGCTGCCGCGGTACCAACAGAGCCGAGCGGCTGCAGCTGCTGCACGAGCACCAGTCTGGGCTGTGACTGCCCTCGGCACCTTCCCCAGGAGACTCGGGCCTGGCTGGGAGGCTCTGTGACGGGGGAGGCATCTGAGCGAGCTGCGGGGGCAGAGGAAAGGCCGCAGGGAAGATCAGCTCGGCAGCAATGCCGTGAGGAGTCTCTGGGCCTGGGGGAGCCAAGAGCCCAGTGCACCCCAGGGTGCAGGAAGCCAACAAGCCTCCCCGGTCCAGCTCCACCATAAGGCAACTTTTTTTTGTGTGTTTTTGGGGTTTTTTGTTTGTTTTTTTTTCTTTTTTTTTCTTCAATAATATTTCCAAGGAAGAAAGCAAAGGGAGATGTGTCTTTTTTTTTTTAAAGAGTTTTTCTGTTGTTGTTGTTTCAGAGGGGTTTGTGGGGGTTTTTTTTTTTTGTTTATGTCATTTTTTCCAAGGTAAAAGGAAGAGAAAAGCTCCTTCAGCAAAGTCCTGTCTTTTCAAGTGATGGGCATTCCTGGGGCAGCGGGTGCACTGTCCACGCAGGCTCGAGTCCAGGTGCCTGCCAGCCTTCCAAACAGCCATCCTCGCAGGAAGGAGTCAGAACAAGCCTATCCTTGGCAAAGGTCCTTTGGTTGACTTCCAAATTGTCCGTGACGGAAGGGAGAGGTGGACAGAGGGAGAGCCAGACCCTCGGGAAGGTGAAGACGTTGGGGAGAAGGGAGCAGGAGAACAAACAGGGCGATGCTCCTGTCGCGGAGGTCGGTGTTGGAGAGGCACCGCCGTCCGTGGAATGGGAGATGCCAGCCAGGTCATGGAGATCAGAGGCTCCGCAGCATCGTCACACGCTGTGGCTTCGGTCCCCCACTGGGGAACCTCGCTCCTCCGAGCTTCCTGAGCGGCTGCCCCGCGATCCGAGGGGAACACAGAGAGAGGGGACTCGTTGGGGCCACACAGAGCAGACTTGTTTTGGTAAATCCAGACGAACTTCTAGCAATAATTTAAAACTTGATATATATATATAATAATAAAAAAATCTCCCCTTTCCAACCCAGCCAGAACAACATCTTTTTGAAGAGACACTAAGACATGAGTGTGTGCACAGGAGGAGAGGGAAGGGAAGGGGTGGGTCTGCTGGGAGCAGGTCTGGCTCTGGTCAGGGTAGTAATAGCAAAATGGTGTTTTGGATGCCGATCGTCTTTGCTTTCCAGCCACAAGAGAAGAAAATCGTGTGCGTTGAAGTTTCTCCCAAGCAGCCTATTCCTGGGAGCCCACCTTCCAGCTCCCTTCCTGTCCCACCCCCTCATGTCTGCCCTTCTCCGAGCCATTCCCCACCAACCCACCCAACCCCCGGCAGGAAGCGGACGCTGCAGCCCCTCTACTTCCCCACTGTCTGCGACTCTGCAGCTGATGGGGCAGGGGATTGCTGGCTCAGGTTTTTGGCATCCTCTTGTGCAGGCTGGCTGGGTGAGGCGTGGGCTTGGCTGGATGGGCACTGGCTGACCGTTTTGCTGGAAGACTGGGATGGGTAGCGCTTCCTGCCATCTCCCCCTGACGTCGTAGGGTATCTCTTGTGTCCACCTTCCTCCCCCATGGGTGGCTGGAAGAGAAGCACCTCAGTATCAGCACAGCCTTCTCCAAATGCAGGTGCCCTTCCCAGGTATCAGGAAACAGCCTTCCTGCAAGCCTCCAACTGTGACTTCTCTCCCTGGTCCACACACATTGACCCCAAGCACTCACTTCCCCATCCAAATTTCCTACTGCCAGGTTTGACAGAAAAACTGACTGACTTCAAAACTGACCCCAGTGCTGACAACTTGCTCTTACCTGCTTTCCACACAGAGGCACAGTCCAGAAGTTTGTGAGCCAAAGCTCCACACAATGCTGGCTCTACTCAAACCATCAATGCTCCCTTTTCTCCTCCTTCCTCACCTCATCAGGGAGAACAGGCTCACCCAGTTCCCATATCCCACAGTGAGTGGGTTTGCCATATTCCAATCCCAAAGTTTGTTCCTTGCCTGGCTGCAATGACTGGGAGTGACAGTAGGTGTCACTGCCCCCTCTCCTGCCACCACCTGGGGACCCCCCCCCAAAATCTTCCATCCTCAGATGCTGTTTGCAGGGGCCATCAGTGTGGTGTAGGAATTTTTTCTACTCACATCTACTCGGAAGTCCTCGAGGCGCTTAAACTTGCTGAGGTATTCTTGCAGTTTGCTGTTAATGTCCAGATTTTTGGCTTTGGAATATTTTAAGAAGGCCCAGAACTTTTCCAGCCCATAGAGCTGCCCTGGAGGGTAAAAAAAAACAACAATCCAAATGTCAGCAGGGCAAAAACTAAAGAAGACACCTTTCCCCCAGGCTTCCCCACAATCCTACTGCCCTGCTGGTGGGCACAGCCTAGGCAAGACGGAAAACCTGAAGGGAAGCAACCTTCATCAGTCCTGGGCAGCCCCCTTGATTTGGGATGTCCCCAGGCTCAGCTGACTTGGTGGTGACAAAGTTCAGGCCTTGAGAAATCCCATAGGAAATGGTGCCTCTACAGGAATGCTTTGGGAGAGCTGCAGCCTCCCACTGCCCTCCTCCAACCCCCAGCAATCATCAGGATAGTGATACTCAACCCCCTTCTGTGAAACGAGCAACAGGACATCCCAGTCCTCAAGGTACAGCAGTATGTGCCTTCCCCAAAATAATGAGAAGAGGCTCAGGAGCACCATGCAGCTGAGCTACATCACTGCCGGTATCACCTACCAGCTTCATAATCCTTGATGGTCTCTTCTTGGAAGTCCTTAAATATGTCTGGCCGGAATTTCTTCTCCAGCCCGTAGCTGTAGTATCTGAAAAGGCACTCCAGACCATACCTGGGAAGGGAGCAGCACATGCAGCTCAGACACTGATGCACACAGACAGGGAAGCAGCAGGAGGCTGAGAACTACCCAGACCCACCTTCAAGCAAGGCAGAGGCACTGCCTTAATTTGCTCTGAGCCCTGTGAAAGGCCAAACCCCTTGGAAAAGGCCACTCTGTCACTCCTCTTACCTGTATCCCTCCTTCCCATCCTCCACAGCCAGTTGCTTGAACTCCTCATACATTTTCTTGTTGAAGTGATCTCGGAGGAAGAAGGACCAGAACCGGAAAAGCGTGTTCATCTCCTGGGACTGACCAATGCCCAGTCGTTTTCGCTCTGTTTGGGGAAGAGGGGATGGTTACAAAGCCAAGCCTCTCCCAGGGAGTCAGGGGCTCATGTGCAGGAGGGCCCTGTGATGACACCCAGCCCCAGCACAGCCCATGCTCCCCACAAACCGTGGGGATACAGCAGCTGCCAGCAGGGCTGTCCTGTAGGGCCTGTGCCCATCCCTGCCGTGTTCCTGTCCCCAGCAGGGCAGAGCACAGCCACCCTGTCCCACCCCTCAGTGCAGGGTCCCTACCGTTAAGGCAGCGCCGCCGGTACTTGTGGTAGACGTGTTGTGTGAAGCCATTCTCCTTGAGCAGCTCGTGCGAGGGATGCTGGAACTTGGGCAGGGACTGCGGGGTGCAGCCGTAGCTCCCGACGGCCGGGGTCCCCTCCGAGGGGCTGGAGCTGAGCGTGAGAGACTCCTGTCAGCACCCTTCCTTGGTATCACCCAGAGAGGGGGTTCACACTTCACCCCGTCACTATCCTGGGTTTGGGACATGAGCCATGGAGTGTACCAGGAAGGGGACCAAAGTTTCTAATCAAGCCTCATCTTGCTACTCTCCAAGGCCACAGATTTTTCCCAAGCCTTTCCAGGAAGGGCAGGTTTGATCCCTGTCCTTTCTGCAGTCACCTAACAGGAGACCTCCCCTGCAAGAACAGATGCTGCTTTTCCCCTTCCTTCCCACACTCCCTCCTTTTCCCATTTCTGCCTCCTCCAGATCCTGCATGCCTGTCTCTGGTACCTGATGGAGGCTGTCCGGGGCCTGTGCTCCCTGGAGTCCATAACCCAGCCCACGTGGCACTCCATCGGAGGGTTTGAACTGTGCCTCGTCTTCCTCTTCCGTGGAGTCTGCAAGACACGGTGCATCACGGATGTGTTCCCTTCCTCCTCAGGCCCCAGCTGGGAGCCCCAGCTGGGAGCCCCAGCTCCTGTCCCCCAGCCCAGCCTGGTCCCACCTTGGCATCTATCGTCCTGCCCTCTTTCACCACTGGGTAGAACCGGGGCGTCTGTGTCGGGTCCTTGAGCTGAGGCGTGCGCGGGGTGCGGGGGGTCCTGGCGTTGCGGTAGTTGGGTGATTCTGGGACAGTCGTGGGCAAAGAGCGGGCGATGGTGGAAGGCTCAGGGACTCCGAAGAGCTTGTTGGCCAAAGCGTCTGTAGGTACTGCAGGGAAAAACCCCCGCCCTGTGTCAGGCTGGGCTCCAGGCAGAGGAGTGTCACTACCAGCCAGCAGCTGGGAAGCAGCAGGGGCAGGAATTCCCTGCAGGAATGCAGGAACACAGCCCAGCTCTCCCACATGAGCAGCCTGAAATCCAGCTTGGCCAGAAAGCCCAAATCCTAGCAACAGATGCAAAGAGCTCCCTACAAGGTATCTGCTTCCTAGTGGGTAACAGCAGCAACAAATCCCTGTCCCCAAGGACACAGCCCTGGTGTCACACAGGCAAACAAGGTCCAACAGGCAGCTGTCTTCCAAGTACTCAGAAGAGGGTCAAAGAGAAAGCCAAATCCCAGGAACTACATCTGAGTCTGCCACAGTTTCCTCATTCCACTGGGACACCCCTGCTTTTGGGCTCCTCTTCTAGAGCCCCACAGCATTCAGCTGGAAGAGCATCATTAATCTGGGAAAGAGGCAACTCAAAATATGCTGTGAACTCTCTCAACTAGATAATCCACCACATCTGTGACCCCAGTTCCTTCTCCCCACCTGCTACCCACCCAGCCTCCAAGACCCTCTCAGCATGAGGAACCTGGACAAATTTGGTCCCATCCATTCATGCCCCATCTCTTACCTTGCTGGAACCTGGGGGGACCAGGAGGGACTTCCTGGTTTGGATCCACAGGGGGCTCTGGGGTCAGGGTGTCAAACTGCTCCCTGCTGATCATATTCACCTTCTTGAAGTTCTCCACCTCTTGCTGCATTGGAGGAGGAAGATGGTGAAGAAACCACTCACCCCATCATAACCACGGCTCTGCTTGAGCAACAGCCACAACACTGGGCCCCGAGGGCAGTCACAGGGCCTGGGTACCCAGAGGGCACCTGCTGCACAGGGGCAGGAAGGGGAGATGCAGCAGACAAAACTGGGCACTGCACAGGCCACTCTGAGCCATTGATGCTACCAAGCTTCCAGGGATTCCCACAAGGCAGCTCCACTAACCAGCACCTGCTTCTTTCAGGCTTTTACCAGCCAGGTCAGAGCCAGGGTAGTAAAGCAGTAAAGCTCAGGAGGAGCTCAGTGACCCATTCTTGGCCAGGTCCCCCTTGCCACCACCTTGTGTCCCTCGAGCCCCCCTCCCCACATCCTCACAGCCACACTGGCAGCAGGGCACAACCCTCCCATGGATCTGAAAGAGTCACACCTTGACACACTGTCCCTGCCACCCTCAGCTTCTGTCACCCCAGAGAGAAGCACTGCTTCAGCAATGGGCCAGGCATCAAACTTGGAAGCACTGAGCCCAGCTGGGAGCTCCAATAAGTCATCCCACCTCACAGCCATGATTTCTATCGTTGAATGAGTCCAGGCAAGTCCCCAGAAGTGAGTCTGGGGACCCAGAGGTTTCAAAATAACAGATGGGCTTGCTATAAAAAGCCCTTGTCTATATAAAACGACACCAAAATGAAGAAGAGCACGGGCCAAGTGCAGCCCAGCCACCTATGAATCCATCACCAACAAGTGCAGTCTCCACCAGAATGTGACACAAAGCACAGGGCACTGAAGGCAGTGCAGAGACACCCAGTTCCCCTCACAGATTTGGTGCTGCCAGCAGAGATCCTGACAGACAGCAGAACAATGGGCCCCACGTTCCAGGTCACCTCACTACTGGCACTTTGTCTACCTGGTTGTAGTTTCATGTCTGGTTACAGCGCTGTGTTTATCCCTGATATGGCCAAACATGATGCTGGGAGACAAGAATCCCAAACACTGCAGGAGGACTAATCCCAGCTTAGCTCCACCCCACAAGTAGACTGCCCTTTTCACCCCAGCCCAGCAGCCACTGCTGCACACAAGGCTCCCCGCAGCCCACACGGATCCCTCCCATCCTCGGATCAGCCGCTCTCACCTTGATCTGCGAATACTCTGGCTCAAACTGCTCTGTCCACAGGTCCTGCTCGTAGTAGTACAGCCCATCATTGATCACCTTGGCCAGCTCCGAGCTCATTTTAGCCCTGGAAGTGTGGTTGCCAGTCCGGTCCCCGCCGGGATGCCGGCGCAGGTACGGAGGGGTCTGCGTCACGATGAGGATCTTGTTCACGTCGCGGTCGTCGATCTCGTAATCCGAGTCTTCGTCTGACCAGTCGGTGAAGGTGTTCTTGCGGCCATCCATCTGCTCCATCTCCTCATCAAAGAGGAAGTCGAGCTCCTCAGGTTCATCTTGGTCCTTCTGCTTCTGCTGCTGCGGTGTCTTTGACTCCTCTGGTTTCTGCAGGTAGCGGGGCAAGGGTGACACAGGGTTAAGCCCACACAGTGACACAAGACCCAGTTCTTGCCCCTTGTTTCTTTACTCCAGGCTGGCTGTGGAGAACACTTCATCATTTACACCACTGAGGAGCAGCTCCAAAGGGGCTCAGATGGAAATGGGAGAGGCTGGGACATCACTCCCAACAGACCCTACTTGACTGAAGCCTGCCCATGTATGACCCAAGTCACCCCGATCACAGAGACTCCCAATCCAACAGCTCCTACATCACTTACCCTGGGCCTGGCTGGGGAAGGTCGGGGTCTCTTCTTCACTTCAATCCATGTCTCTGAATCCAGGTCTGGCAGACTTGTGGACAGGCCCTTGGGCATTGTCTTCAGGTTACTGACCTCCTCTGTTTTGGTGGGGACTGGGCTGGAAGGACGTGGGGAGCCTGGAGCGGACTCTGGAGCCAACAAGAGTCACAAACTGCTTTAGAAGGAGGAAGGGAACCCAGGGGGTGTAGTTACAAATTACCCAGCCATTCTGGCAGCATGGAACAGCCTGCAGGACTAACTGGCATAGAGTGGCCAAGAGCTTTGCAGGTGACAGCTTCCCAGACACACAAAGCCCAAAAGCAGGTGCTCTTCTTCTCTCTGGGAAACCTTCCTGAGAGTCTGGAGCCAGATCTTCTCCTGTTGAAACTCTTAACCACAGCACCAAGATGCTTCACATGGGCTCTGGGCTCCTGCCAGCCCCCATGGATGGGGTGACAAGAGCATGGGAAGCCCATGAAGGACGGAAGACCTTTCTGCAGCACTTGGTTGACAGCTCCACACCTGCTGCCCAATTTGTGCCCATTATCTCCTCAATCAGTAAAGGAAGGCTGGATTCACAAATGTCCTCTGCTCTACCCCACACTCGTAGTAGACTATTTCCAGACACGCCAAGAGTCTTTCAGCAGGACTGACTCTCTCTGAATCCCTTGAGCCCTAACAGAGGACAAGCCACACTCAGTCTCTCGCATTACCCCATGTCTGGAGGCAGCATTCTGGGGTCCAAGGACAGAGCCTACTCCAGCTCTGTCACCACCAAGCAGAAAATCAATGGCAGAGCCTTGCCCTGGGAACACTCCTGACTCTCAGGATCTCAGCCACGTTGCAGTACCAGCACTGCATCCCACACCTTCCTCCACATCCCCCCAGTGCTCACCAGTCTCCTTCTGGAAGCTCTGTCGGGGCACAAACTCGGGGCAGTTGATGAACTGTGAGAAGTCTGTCTGTGTGTAGTCTGCCATAGGAGGGCCAGGCAGAGCCCATTTTTCTGGCTGCTCTTTTCTCCTGATCTTCTCATCCACAATTTCCACCACTTTGCTGTCCTTCAGAGCCTGGAATCAAGCAGTACTTGGTTAATTTAGGGCCTTGTTTTGGCACATTGAGGGGTTCAGCCCAAGCCATTCCTCCCTGGGAGGACTAATAGAAGGCAGGAGCAAGTCAAGGACAAGTGAAAGCTCCACTTGCACCTCATCCAAGGTGAACAGACATTACACAAGGGTGGTGAGAAGCAGAACAAGGAGGAAAGGTCACCTTTCCTTGCCCTCACCTTGATGATGAGGCTGATGTCGGTGGTCAGTGCCTGCACCCGGTGGAAGCTGGCGATCAGCGTGATGGGCAGGAAACCGTCCGAGTCCATCTTGCGGCGCAGGAAGAAATCTCGCTCCAGGTTGTCCACGCTGAAGTAATATTCTCTGCATGGACAATGTGTCAGTGAGAGGAAGCCCCAAACCACCATCCTCTGGGCACCCCCAAGGAAATAATACCCTGAACACACTGAGGGGAGCAAGCCTGGGGAGCCCAGATGTGGGTGGTGCTGGAAGCAAAGCACAGTCAACACCCTGGCTCCAACCCTTCCCATGGGATTGGCTGCACAGTCCCCACCGCCCAGCAAGGACAGGAGGTGCTCACATCTGCCTCTTGATGTAGTCCTTGAGCAGCTCCTGGTCCACGCTGTAGAGCTCAGCACTGCTGATGTTGTCGAAGTAGTAGGTGATGTTGCTGGCGTACTTCTGGGTGCGGGAGCTATCCGAGCCCTCGAATTTTCGGTATCCGTACTGGTAGTCAAAGTGCCCTGGAGGATACCAGGAAGGCTCAGCACAGAGGCCCTGGGATCTGCCAAACAGGCTGCACTGCCAGGTGGGGCTGGACTCCTGCACAAATACTTCCCCCCTTCCTGAGGACCCCATGCCAGCCCACATGGAGCACCCACATCCTTCATCCTCCTGCTCCCTGCCCCTCCCACAGAAGAGGCCAGGAACCCTCTTAGTTACCCCAAGGGCAACTGGACAGCCCAGCTGACACACAAAGGCCCTACACTGAAGCTGCACTGGTGTTAGCACAGACACTGCCCAGTCACATGCCAGGGCAGATGCTCTTCCTCAATCAAGCCATAACCCCTGCATGGCTCTCAAATGGCATAAAGCCTTCACAGACTATCAATATGCTTCAATTCCTGCTCACAGAGGTACTGCAAGGGACAGAAAACAAGAAAAAGAGTTTGGCCTGAGTAGCAGGAAGACATCTGCTTTTATAAAAATACTAGTAAGGATTATTTGCTTTGTTAATAGCAGCTCAACTTACCGGCTGCAATTATCTGGCACAATATTTCCTCGTATCCCTGGAGTTCTCTGCCCCCTCCCAGCCCACTTGAGAGCCCCAGGTCTCTCAGGCACACAGACACAGAGCTCTGCACACTGTCACTCTCCCTGCAGTCACAAGAGCACACACACAATGATCACCTCCTCTGCCACGGCCACGGCCCCTGCCCCGGCCCCGGCCTCGGCCCCGGAAGGTTCCTCGCACGGCCCCTCCCTCGCTCTTCACGCTGGAGGTCTCATCGTGGTCCTGCCAGCTGCGCTCGTGCTTGTTGTCAGGGTGCCAGCCTGCAGCACACGGGGAAGGAGAGGCAGGAGAGGTGTGAGGGCATGGCAGCAAGCCTGCTGCACCCAGAGCCCTCTGAACACAGAAAAGCTGCCCCTGGGCACCAGGGCTTGCTCTGCCCCGTGGCCAGGCCAGGAGCGCGTCCCCAGCCCGAGCCCCCACCTTTGAGCTCACTGCGGTTGTTGGAGGGGTGCCTGTGCTGCTCATTTTGCCGGTTGTTCCGAGAGGCCGTTTTGTCCCTAGGCACTTCTGACTTCATGTCTATCTGCAGAGGGACCCACTTGTGTTTGCTGCCTGCAAAGGGACAGGGTTTGGGTGTGACACAGGTTCAGAGTGCATCTGCTTCCTCCCCTGCAGCCCCCTCTTGCCATGCAGCCCCCACACATGGAGGAGAGAAAACAGCAGGGCCTTTTGGACAGACCCTGTCCTCCGACATCCCTCCAGGCCTCACTGGATGCAGAAAAGCTCTGACCAGGACTCTGAGACATGGAGGGACTTGAGTCATAACTTGCCTGTGGCAATTGTCACAGCACTTGTCCTTCCCCTGCCCCTTTCTGCCTGCCCAGGCTGAGGCCAGACTGAGCCCAGGTGTCAACCACAGCTGATACAACCCACAGTGAGGGGCTGTTCTGTGCCACCATGGAGCACACGGGAAGGCAGGCTCCTGCCCTGCCCATACTTGGGCCCTGTTCCACCTGCTCCCACCAAAATGACACCTGAAGCCTGCAAACACCTTTTCCCATGGCTGTCCCTGCACTGAGATCATGTCCTTTAGCAAGGCCTCCAGGGAAGGCGGAGGATGCTTCCACCTGCCTGTGGATTGGGAATGGGGAGACAAGCTGAGCCTGGGGGACCATCCCCACCAGCTCCTGACTTACCTTTCTTCTTCTGGGCTGACTTCTGGTTGTCATCATCACCATTCTTCTCCTCCCCAGACTCATCTGATTTGGTTTTCAGGTTCTCCTTGCCATCACTCCCATCCCCCTTTTCCTGCTCTTTCATGTCTTTCTTGACAGGCAGCTTCCGAAGGGATGGTGCCTTGTGTGGCTGCTGGGGACACACCAGTGCAGGAAAGATGTGAGAGGTGGGAGTAGTGAGGAGCTGGAGGCAGACCCCAGCTGTCCCTGACTTTGCCCTAGGCTGGGTGCATCCCTGCTCTGTACCTCCCAGAGCTGTCCTGCTCATAGGGAAGGGTTCATGGCTGAGCAGACAGGGGCTCATTGAGACTAAGATAAGCTGACAGGGAGACCTCGTGCTCATGGACGGGTTTATCCTGTAAAGGACCAGAATGAGCCAGTAGCAAAAGGGTGAGTGACCACCTTGCCCTCACAGACAGCCAGGAGCCAGCAGAACAGTATCCAAAAATAGAAAGGTTTCAATGACACCCATGTCCTCAGCAGGGAGGAAGGACTGAGCCCCTTCAGCACACCAAACCTTTCTAGTGCATTTTCAGTTCCTCCTGTGGAACTCCTGACTTTGGCCCAGTCCCTTCCTGCACAGAACAGCCCTGAGGAGACCAGGTTTGGGAGCCGACCTACCTGCTTCAGCCAGCCCAGGGTTTAGACTGGGTTCCAGGTTCCCAGAATAGCACTGAGGGAGGCAGTCTGCCACATGGGCAGCCCTAAAAGGAAATTCCCTGCACACTATTTCTGGCTGCCTCCACACTGACACTCGGCACCCCAAATGGCCTGGCTCAGCCAGTGCATCCAGAAGGGTAGGGAGGTCTGCAAGGGCCTTATCCTGCTCATCACAATGGTTCTGTGTTCTCACCTGGATGCTCTTGTGGGCTATTTCTCCAGGTGTTGGCCAATTTGTGGCATCACCAAAGTCACCAACCTTGTACCAAAGAGAAAGGTCTCGTTAGTGCACAAAGCTGCAGGCATTCCCTGCAGCAGGGAAAAATGCCTTCCACCCACCCCTGTCCCACAAACAGCTGTCCCCATCAGCTAGAGGGGGACACCCACACTGCACATACACAGCCCCTCTCCCCACTGAAGCAGGAAGCCTGAACTAATTCCAAATAGCTGCAGACAAGTTTACGTCCATCAGACATTGTAACGAGCCTGCCACCACTCCCGCAAGCTCCCAGCCTCTCACCAAATATTCTGCCCCAGCAGCAGCATTTGGCAGCAAGTTGCCCAGGATAATTCACTCAATCCCAGGCACCATCCTCTGGACAGGGAAAGCACTCAGCTTACAGCATTCTAAATACACCTGAAGCAACTACATCCCACTGAAGAAGCTCTTCTACCTAGTGGTAGCCATAGTCAGGCACAGCCCCAGTGAAGTGCCCAGCTACAACCACCACATGCTGCCAAGCAAGCAAGGGGATGTTCTCAGAGTAGGTGAGAAAATTCAAGCAGGTGAAGGGAACTCCCTCATTCCAGTCACTGCATGGGCACATGGGGAAACATCAACTACTTCTCTGCTGAACAAATGACCTGCTCACTACCATCATTTCTATCTCTTTCAGGTTTCATAGGACCTGCAGGACACTGGAAAGAAGCCAAAAGCTGCCCAGGTACCAAATGAATCATGGCTGGCCACTGAGTTTACCTGGGCACAGAAACTGCTCCTTGTCCTTGTGGGATTTTTATTTCTGAATTAATTTGGAGTCCAATTAATTTTTTATCCCTAAGGAGATCACATCTTTACATGCAGGTCCCATGCTCCTCTGCCCAGGAGGCAAATTTCCTGGGAACACTAATTCCAGTGCAGAACCATGCCTATTTCACAGAGAGGAGCACCTTCCTAACCCAGGGCCCTCCTCCCTCCAAAATGGAACAGAGAAGCCAAGTCCTATCAAGCTGCAGATACATCTCCACCAACAGCTCCTGTCCCCAGCTGTGCCCCAGAAGAAGCTGTCCCTCCACCATCACCACTGACTCCCTGGAACAAACTGCCCTGCTTCCTCCAGAGGAGTTGCTTGGTCTGACATCAATCCCCCTGGCTCTCTGTGTGCCAGGGAGGAACAGACAGCACAGGGAAGGACAGAGCTGCAGACACATCACTGTCATCACCCTGCCTGCACTGCAGAGCTGGGCATGGGCTGAGCCCACACGTTTGGGGTGTCCTCACAGTGGAGTGAGAGGTTTTCCACATCCAGGACTCTTCCAAGAGCCTCCCTGTTAAGAGGGGAGGTGAGAAGGTCTCTCCTGACTTAGCTCAGCAGAAAACCAGTCAGAGCAGCATGCAAGATCCCTAAAATGCTGAGGAGGAGATGGAGAACAAAGCCAGCACATCAGCCTCTCCTACAACCAAACTTGTGAAGGGAAAGCTCTGCTCTCCAGACCCTCGAGAGGCTCATGCAGCACTGGAAACTGGGGGCCAGAGAGAGGAGAGCAGGCACAGCCTTACCTTGCTTCCTTTCCTCTGTCTCGGGTTGGCAGCCCTCACCACTTTTGCTGGAGTTGTAAGTTCTGCAAGAGAAGGACAACAAAAGTGTTAGGATACAGCTGAAGGCTGTGGGTGGGAGTGCTGGCTCTGGAGAGAAGTGGGTAGGAAACAAAGCAGCTCCCCCTTCAGCAAAGGAGGGCTGAGAGGAAAAGGTAAACAGAAAACACAGCCAGCTCCTGACTTGAGTCTCAGAACTGCCCCATTAGATCAGAAAACTGCTGTCCAATCCAGGTGGCCCAGAGATGGACTTTTAACCCTATCCTGCTGCAGGAAGGCACTCCCTGCCTTACCTCTGCCCTCCCCTCTTGCCAGGCAGGGAGGAGGAGGGGGGGAAAGGAGCTCAGCTCATGCTGCAAAGCACCCACAAAACAGCAAAACAAACATGGCCTTGAAAAGCCAAGACCCATCACAGCACCTGAGGCCAGTGCTCCCCAGGGAGCAGAGCAGGGCTCTGACAGAGGGATGCAAAAGTCTGTGGCTGCTGAATTCTGGTTTGAAGTCAGGCATCCCAGCAGGACAGCAAGTTCAAGAGAGGAAACGTAGGGAGAGAATGAGCCAGATACATTAAGTGCCTAAATCCTGCTTCAGCTGAAAGTATTTAGGCACTCAAGCACCTCTGGGGTGTTTTAACACATTAAAGTGAGACTGTTGGGGTTCACACCACCACAGACTTCACAGCAAGTCAAGATCTCAACCTCACCATGGCCCATTTTGGCTCCAGCTTGCACACCACCTCCTTACAAGCAGAAACGAATTCAGCTTGCTTTGTCCCACAGGTCTGGCTGCAAAGTCTCTGATCAGGCTTACACAGGGCATGCAGAGTCCAAGCAGCAGAGCAGCACAACTCTGCCTAACACAAACAGCCCCACAAGGACCACGGATGAGGTTCTCCTCCAGGACACTGGTGCTCCACCTGGGCCCTGCCCCAAAGGGCAGCCTGTGCCAGGCTCCTGCAGCAAGGATTTCTGCTGACTCACTGGCTTTGCTTAGAAGAAAAGCAGCCCTGACTGGGGTAGGGTGAGGGTGGGAGATCGGCACAGGCTATCTGGGGATGCCCCAGGAAACACCGTGAGTAGCCTACTCAGCTCTGCTCAAAGCTGCCTTTGATCTCCTTCAAAAGGCTGGACAACTTTGCCTAGATGATCAAAACCGGTCCCCTTCTGAGGCTCGAAACCAGTGATTCATCCTGGCCTTGCTCAGAGTTGGAGGCTTTGAAGTGTCAATAAGGCAGAGTCAGACATCGCAGGACAGAGCCACGTGCACTCTCCTTCCCCATTTCTGTTCTCTACGGCTCCTGCATGGGGATTTCAGCCCCAGAAGAATCCAAGCTCTCAGCTGGGTCCCTGGATCCTCCCCCTTTCCCCCAGGACCTTCCCAACCCACCTGCAGTGCCTCCCTTCATGAGCAGCAGCAGTCCCACATGTCCCTCATTTGTCCCACGTGTCCCTCATTTATTCCATGTGCACTTCATTGAGAATCCTGGCTCCACGACACAAAGCTTGCCAGAAGGCTTTTAAACTTCCCTGCTAGTGTAGGAAGAGCCAGCACTTTCAAAACAGCCCCCAAAATCTTCCACTTAACACCCACAGATGTCACCAACTAAATATAGGCAAAAGGCACCAGGAGCTACAGCACAAACCCACATCCAGCACAGTTTTCCATAGATACAGAGGACCCCTGCCTGCTCCAGCAGCACTGACAGGACTGGCACAGCCCACCGAGGCTCCGATCTCTGGGGCTGGGGGACAGCAGGGCTCCCTCTCTCCCTGCCAGGATCGCATCCAGGCACCTGCTCCCACCGCAGCACAGCCCCAGCGCTCACAGCAATGGCAGCTGGCCCTTTCCTCCAGCTGCTTCACCTCAGGAGCCCTCAAAGCCATGGAAGTTCTTGTGCTTTTCTTTGGGAACCAGGCAAAGAGAGGGGCCTCACAAACAGCAATGAAAGGGGATGAAGGGG